TGTTGCAAGATTTACGGAAGCCGTATATACGGTGAAATGGAAGCAAATAAATACGTGTATACAAGCGATCGCGGCAGCGCTCTGCGAATGGTGGTGGTAATGGTGAACTAAAGTATTCAATAGCATCGAAAATACCAATATGTGGCTTCCGAAAAATATTTCTTCTATAAAGTTCAAATAATATAAGAAGTCGACTAGCATGAGTCTCCGATATGGCGTCCATATATGGACGCCATATAGCACACGGGCGCCATATCAAATGTAAATGGTCAATATAAGGACGCCATAAGTATAGAAAGATATATATATATATATATAATAAAAAATCTAAAATTTAAACAAATTGATGTTAAAAATTACAGAAATAAAACGATTTTAAACATAATTTCATTTTAATTCTAACAATAACAACAATTTTTTACATTATTGATTGAATGACAAAATTTTTATCGATGTGAATATTATAGTAAAGCATTCCTACAATAACAGTACACAATAATTGCACATGTTTATGTAAAATTGACTAATAGTATTGCATTAACTCTTTAAATGTTAACTTGAATATATATATAAATAACTTGTAAAATCAGTAATGAAGAGATAATAAACTGTTTAGATAATAAATATTAATAAAAAAGTAAAAATAAACTGAAACACAATTATCTATAATATTGTCTTTTAAGTATTATTTAGGAATGATTATTATTCATCAATTTTAAAGGCATAAATTTATTTAAAGTGCCTGCAGTTTTTGTTTCACATTTATATAACAAGTAATTTTTAAAGCATATCAGATTTAACTGACATTGACTACTTATTTGTGTGAAACAAGGATTACAAATATAAAAATAAAATTATGAAAGTACTTCCAGAAACGCCCTTGGCACTTTTCCTTGTTTGCTGCCTTGTTTTCCCATTACATAATCTTCGTTTGATATGTCCTTTATTAAAATAACCTAAAAAGAACCATCTGTATATTGTATATAAATAAGGGTTTTTTGTTTTGTTCTTTTCTAATATCAAATATATGGAATGTAGACAAGGAGTGAAGGCTCTTATGGGCCGCGCATACAAATTTGGACCCCATTTTAAGATCAAAATTAAAATTAAAGTTTAAGGAGTCATCATTGTAGCGCTGATGCACGGGATAGTCTAGTAATGAAGTTGCACTTACAATGTCGCGCATTTTACTTATTTACATCAGTGCCGCCTTCACTTCTTGCATACATTCCACAATCCCATGTTGTGACAGAGAAGACTTTACTACAAACTTAACAGAATGAAAAGTCATAGTCTAATTCTATTTTAAATCTACTAACATTGAGCACTAAATTTAGGAAAAAAAAAGTAAAGGTAGTTATAAGAACATTTTTGATAGAAGTCTTATACAGCCTAAATATGAATATGTCTGTAAATACTTCATTAATTTCCAGTTTTGTGTAAGGATTTCACTATTTATTTTTCCTAATTAGAGTAATTGGTTAAGAGCAATTATCCGCGCATCAAATGAAATCGTCCGTTTGCCCTACTCCAGCGAATGCCGCACGCACTATCCCACCACGAATTCTGCTAGTCAGGAGGGGATCAAAGCGATATAACGAGTTTTCTTGGATGAGAATCCTTGGTTCAGATCTCGAACTCGAAGAACTCCAGCACCACCCTGTGGACCACCCCGAGGACCTGAAACCGTTACCAGAGACCGCCATCCAAAACAAAAGAGTTAGCCACCAGGAGCAGCGACCCAGAATAAGTAAGCAAATTGTATTTTCCTATTTTTACTTGTTCTGTCTTGTCATAAGTCCTGCCGAGTTTTGAACTCCACTTGAACTCTAAGTGCTGGGCGGGGTAGCGGTGACATTGTCAGGCGGCGGGTTGACTGTGAATTACATCGCCCTCGTTTTGACGAACGTAGCTAGGGCACATTAACTGAAACCGCTGGTTGACTGTGAATGACATCGCCAGTGGAAGACGTCAGGTGCTGGCCATACTGTGACGGATAGACCCAGGAAGTTGGCTGTGAATAACACCGCTTTCAGGAGAAATCTGTCGTATACAGTACATGGTGCGGCAACGGCGTTGTCAGGCAGCGGGTTGACTATGAATAACATCGCCCTCGTTTTGACGAACATAATTGGGTACCTTGACTGAAACTGCTGGTTGACTGTGAATAACATCGCCAGCGGAAGACGTTAAATGCCCAGCCTTATCGACGGATAGACCCAGGCAGTTGGCTGTGAATAACACCGCTTCCGGGAGAAATCTGTCACCGGCCGCGAGTCCAAACGTTCACCTCGCATAGACTTTGCCTCCTGTCAACCAAATTATTCCTGTTCCCGATTATCATTTGCTTATTTATGCCATTGTGTATTGATTGCTTTGCTTTCTTCTTGGCTGGTATTAACTCCGCATAATTTCCGTTGCTTTGCTAGAAATCGCCGATGATATTTATTTGTAGAATTAGAGTAGCCCGTAATTCCTTTTTCTTTGTTTCAGAGCCATTTGGGAACGGCATATTTATTGACTATTTACTACTCTGATTTGCTAACCTTCTTTTTATTTCTAGCACCAACCAAAATTAAAAACCAAATAATTATTTATGGCGTACTGTTTCTTAGAGTATTAGATTGTTTATTGTAAAATAAACCAAACACCTAATACTGAATTTGTTTACCGTACCGATTTTGTGTCCTGATTACCGATATTTAACTATGTGCAATTTTTGTATTTGTTTACAGCACCGGAAAACCGAATAGGCATTTTAATTCCGTCATAAATAATAGCTCTAACGAATTTTATTTTATTCACACCGCTTGTAAATTATTTTTACATTTCTGATTTTAGTTGTTTATAATAATTGTAATTAGAATCTATTTTACTTTTGATTGTTTCAATTTCTGTAAGCCTTAGTAATACAAAATAAATCTAGTAGAAATATTTCCAATTGTATTCATTCTTAACGCCGATAAGATTGCTAAATTCCGATCAGTAAAAAGTCTTACTATCTCTTTGTGACCTACACTGATAAGTCCGTTCATTTTGAAAGTAAAGTAACACTACACTCAGAAAACTACTCTGATTAAAAGTAAGAGAAATATAACAGACCCCTGGAGTTAAACATTCTTCACTGTAGCTATTCCGAGGGTAGGGTTCACGTGGAGTTTCCCCCATGTAAAAGATAGAGAAACTATAAACCTTTTATGTTACCTTCTTATCGCTGAAAATTGTTTGCTTGGTTTCTTATAGTCTCGAAACTTATATTTTTGTATGTAAAATTTGTGATTAGAATTAGAATTATTAAATCTGAATACATCGTACATAAAATAAACGTAATAATTATGACGAGTTTGTAGGTTAATAATGTTATATTTGCTATCATCACTATTATATTTTTCATTTTTCTTTTTTTTCTTTTTGTATTANTAGAAATAAACGGAATATATCTATTCTCATCAAAGTATATTAACCGCCATCTATCGCTTTGACATCCCATATATTTGGTTTGAATGAAAAATATTCTTTTCATATTTCACTATTCAGTGCTTAGGGATTCCTTTCAAAGTGCTGAATATGTGGACTCTTCCCAGTATATTTTTCCGTTTATGTGAACTCCAATATGTATATTATATTTTATCTTACAGTACATATGAAAACCAACGCTGTTGCCAAATTTCTTTGTTCTTCGCGACGTGTATATGTTCCGTATTCGGTCAATATTTGGTTCGATTTATATAAAAGACAGTCTCTAAATTGATAATGCGATGCGGTTTTATTTTAAATACCTGTACTATTTTTTACATTGTTATCAGTATATGTATTAATTACTATTATTATTAAAATATCTTCTTAAAATTTTTGAAGCTTTATGCATATTGCTCTAGTGGTTTTTGAGATATACATAATTTAACAAAAATTGACAAAATTTGATCGCCAAAACCACTGAAGCAATATGCACAAAGTATAAAATTTATGTACAAGTATATTGCCGTAAATGAAATGGTAGATATCCTTAATTAAACTTCTTTATGTACAGAGATGGATGGTTAACGCACTAAATTTACACCCTGTATATTTTGAGAGGCTCTTTCTATTTTTTCAAACGTGTAAATAANGGCTCTATCTAGATTTAAAAAACACAGAACGGAGAATGCCTGGAAGGAATACAAAGAACTTAGGAATTTTGTCACAATGGCGGTACGAAATGAAAAGAAGGCTTTTCTTCGACATAAGTTTGCGGTTGATCCAAAGGGGTTTTGGCGCACTTTGAGGTATTTAAATATAAATTCTGTTCCTTATGTTTACCCAGGCGATATTAGTAGTCCATCAGTTTTTAATAAGTATTTTGTCAATAGCATACCGTCTCCAAGTTCAAATAACAATAATTTTATTACCGACACCTATTCTAATAAAAATTTTTCAAATATTACCCATAAGTTTCAATTCACTTTAGTGACTGAAGAATGTATCGAAAAAATATTATCGCAAATTAAATCTAACTCTACTGGCACAGATGGCATAAATCTTAAGATGATCTTATTAGTTACACCTTTTCTTACTAGCTATATCACACATATCGTGAACAGCTGCCTTGTATCAGCTAAATTTCCATCTTTTTGGAAAAATGCTAATATTATACCCATACCTAAGGTAAATAATCCCTCTCAAACAAATCAGTTTCGTCCAATTAGTATTTTGCCTACTATATCAAAGATATTGGAAAAGGTTGTGTATGTACAATTAAGCGAATTTTTTCTTAGTAATAAAGTTATTCCTCCTACGCAATCAGGTTTTCGTTCTTTACACAGTACATCAACAGCTTTGTTACATGTTACGGATGATATATTTCGTGCATCAGACAATAAATTAAATACATGTTTGATACTCTTGGATTATAGTAAGGCTTTCGATACCTTAAATCATAGAATTCTTCACTTAAAACTTAAATACTTCGGATTAGATGAGAACGTGTTAAAATTTATGTCCAGTTACCTAGAAGGTCGCAAACAGAGAGTCAGTTTCGGTAATTCTTTTTCAGATTATGTTATGTTAAATAGAGGTGTGCCTCAAGGAAGTATTTTGGGGCCTCTGCTTTTTGCTTTATATACTGATGATTTTTCTGTTTTTTTTATTTTGTAATTCACATCAGTACGCAGATGATATGCAAATTTATTATTCTTTTACTTTAACAAACTCACATGTGGCTGCAAATAACATTAATGAAGATTTAAATAAAATTGTTGAAGTATCAGAATGTCATGGTTTAGTCTTAAATGAAAGAAAATCCCAGCTAATAATATTTGGCAGTCAGGAACTGCATAACAATAATAATTTCAAAATCAAAATAAATGGAGTTGACCTAATTTCCACGACATGTGTAAAAAATCTGGGTGTATATGTCGATTTTCGTCTAAGGTATGAGACATGTGGCACATTTGTTACAGAAGTGTTATAAACTCAAAATGCTCTACATGCATAAAGATTATCTATCAGTTGAAATTAAACTTAAACTGACTGACACATTAATTCTCTCAACTCTAGCATACTGCGATATTCTATACTGGCCCTCACTTACTGTTAAAGACAAAAACAGCCTTCAGAAATTACAAAATGCTTGTCTAAAATTCTGTTATGGTGTGCGAAAGTATGATCATGTTACACCACTTTTTGATTCTTCTAATTGGTTAAAATTGGATGAGAGATTTATTGTACATTTGGCTACATTAATATACAAGGTTATCACTTGGGAACAACCTTACTATTTGCGTGATAAATTAATTCGTGGTGCAAACACGCATCATAGAATTACTCGTCACTGTAACAAATTTGTCATGCCAAGACACTGTTCTGCAATGTTTCAACGCTCTTTTAGTTACAATGCTGTAAAACTTTACAATTCTTTACCTGCAAATGTTACCTCTTGCTCCACTGTGACTAGTTTTAAAACAGCAATTAAGAAACACATTGTTACCCTTAAAACATAGTAGTGTTTATTTACTCTGTGTATTTTTGTAAAACGGGCGGTTAGAATGAGTAGCTCTGCTAGATCTCGCCGCCATTTATATTGATTATGTTCAATAATTTGTTTTTCATATGAAAATAAAGGCATATTATTATTATTATTATTATTATTATTATTATTATTATTATTAAACTGGCGCCCGAGACTAACCGAACAAAAAAATTATAATCTGGAGTCTGTTCCTGTGACGTCACTCACCGCCGCTGGCTGCCGACCACCACTTCCGATAAAACAGTAGTCAAGGGTCGTCACAAAATTAAGTGCTCAAGCAGGGACGTCAGTGACGCCTATAAATATCGTAAATTAGAATTCGAAATTGCAAATTAAAATTCCGTTTAGAGTTGGTAATCTACCGGGGCGTCCACAAGTAAAGTCAGAACTGACCGTCACCACCAAACCAAAAAAAGTATGTTACAATTTTTATTGTTACTTATATTTTTTTTATGTGGTACAAAACTGCAGTAATCTGCAATGCTTATCTCGAGAGTAGAGCTAATGGTTCATTGTAAACAAATTATTAATATTGACGATGCTAGGATTTAAGAATTTTTCATTACGAGCACCAATCCTGCAATGTTGGTTGCCTAAGCTCAGTGATCACGTGGTGTGCAATCATTTATGAAGTTTCTGTACATATGGTGTGGAATACTGTAGATTGATACAAAATACTAAAAGCCTTACAGGACTAAGGGTACATCTTAAATATAATTCATTAATTTATTTTTAAAAAAAAATTTAAATAATAAAAAATTTCTGAGACTTTCTCCAGGGATAGAAAAATGTATTGCAAAGAATTACAGTAACAAAATGTGGGACATACGCACACAACTGTAGATGTAAATTGGTGTATACAAGTGAAATGTAATATGTCAACTCATTTATAAAAGGTTTATTTTTACCTCATTTGCAGTCAGACTTAATTCAGTAGAATCCTTCGCTTCATAATCATATAGAACTCGGGCCTTCATCATGTCTTCCGTTGGTGAATCATCAGTTTGCATGGAATTATTGGGAGTAGGAGGAACACCTGATAAACTACGGATTTAAAAATAAATTTATAATACGCATCAAAAAAGTTTAAGTCATGCAGGGGTAACTTAAAGGTGGCACATGTGTAAATTAAAAATATTTGCTCTTTTCTTTTTTATAAACGTTTTTTTTGGTAGCGCTCAGAGTACCGTTCAAAACTGAATTATAAAATATTTTCATGTTTTTTTTTTAAATGAGTTATGGAAAACTAGTTAGTAAATATTTAACCGATTATATTAAAATGTGAACATTTTGAAATGAGGTTATTTTATTTGCATAAAGTAAAAAAATGTATTAATCTCATTTTTTTCTAAAACATTTACAATTAGTGAAATTTCTAACTTTTTTATGGAGATTATACAATTGCTTTAATAAATTAGTGCATTGTATTAACTACAAACTACGTGTATTTCAGTGCAAAGAGGATCAGTTAAATAGGCAGTACTTTTAATAATAACTATTCTGGGCATCACCATCAATGTAAAACATAGCTTGACCAAACTCATTTTGTCTATGAAATATGCATATCAAGGAAAGCCCACAAATGGAGTAACAAAGACAGGAGACCTTAATACACAGACTTCATAAATGATTACAAGTCACGTAATCAGTAATTTTGTTTGGAACAGTAATTTTATTTAGTTGACGTTGGTAATAAAATTTCTTTAAAATCAAATTCAAATTACATTGAAACACAACTTTCTGTTTCACCAGCTGTGATTGGTGTAATTTTTCAGTATATTCTATTCAACCAATCAGCAATTGCATTATCTCGAGCATAGATGTAACGGTTTGTCATTATCCATTGAAAAAGAATCATTAATATTGGTGATGCCAAGATTTAGGGATCTCTTTTCCGGTACCAGTCGTGCAATGTTGGGATGTCTAAGATCAGCGGTCAGGTGGCTTGTAAACATTTATGAAGGCTCTGTAGTAGGGTAGTAGGTTCAGACAGAAAATGAACTCTGGTGCTAGTCTAGTAACACAGCATTTGAAACTCGTGGCAAGATGAATTTGGTCAAACTGTATGTCACATCAGACATTCCTATAATTTTTTACTCATTGCATTTGATTTTACAGCAACTACAAATTAGGTTACTTATGCTTAAGTAATAAATGCAGTGGCGGCCCGTGGGTTTGAATACAGGGGGGCGCATTCTGAAAAGAGGACGTACATCATAAGAGCTGCAGGGCAAAAAATCTTAAGGAATTTGAAGGTCATTGTGTTTTGCAAGTACCCCAAAATGAATACTGTTAGTGTGTACAGTAGCTACTTACAATTAGATACGATGCGAGAAATAAAATTCTAACGTGTGGGGGCTGAAGTGGATAATCGATCAACCAACCCAGTTAGGATGTAATTATGTAGATTACTGTAATAGTTCATTCTGTATAGTTTTTGAAGTTCCTTTAAAAACATGGTCATCACTAAGATGTTTATCTAAAACGGGATCAATTTTTGCACTATAGTCTATCAGTTCTAAAAATACCCCTTTGTTTACCGAGTCACTTTTTTTATTATGTCGACGAAGAGAAAGGTTACATGTACCACATAGTTTAGATATATTTTTTGAAAGAAGCAATCGATTGTTCTTAAGGGCCCCATATTCTTTAAATAGTGTTTTCCGCAAAGACAAATAATTTCAAACACTTAATAACTGAATAATCTAAAGCTTATCAAATAATAGGAATGTTATGTCATGCCACCTGAGTATTTTCAAAGACGCCGCAGTAAAACGAATAAATAGGTGCAAAAAACGATCAAACCATCAATGTTTTAGGTACTGAAATCTACGAAAATATGAACTTTTTTATATACAACTCCACATGTAAATATTCTTATAACATTTACTTGCTTAGTCCTACATATAAAATTGTTTACTTTTATTTATAAATACCTGAAAATAATTCTTAAAATGTGGGGTTAGAATAACAGCAAATGCATGTTTACAAACGTTTTTTTTACTTATTATTTTATTTGAGTAAATTTAAATGGTAACAATGAATAAACAAAACATCAAGGATTTTATTTTTGTGCTTACTTTTGTCCTACACGTTTTACTTTTAAAGATTTCAGTACATAAAAACGCCAGAAATTTCACTATGTCTCAGCCTGGAATATGGCCACCTTAACTGTTTCGTTATGACTATTTACTATTTATTTGTTCTACATAAGCACTATTTAAACAAGAAGCAATATTTACTCTTCCTAAAAGTAAAAAAACTCACCAACTTATTTTTGTGTTTAGGATAATTTTCATGTTTCTTAATTTTAATTTCTAAATGTTTCAAATCAGAAACTCCAGTTTTTATCCAGTTTTCTTCGCCTCCTCCAAACAATAAACATACAAAACAAAAAAATCTATTTGTTTGGTCACAACCACACAACCACAGGGTCTTATCATAAATGTTTTTATCAAATTTGCGAATAAAAGCCGGCCTACTTTTGCACTCTTTCTGTACCTGAACTAAATTCAACACTGGCATTGGACATCCGTTATTTTTCAATTCGACTTTTTCCTTTAAACTTAAATTACTAATAACAAGTTTTTTTATTTCACAAACCCTCATTTTAAACTTAAACTTATAAAATATAATGTCTTAAAAAGCGCCAAAGCAAAAACAAAACACGTATAACAACACTACAGTGATACGGGATACTGCCACATGGAGTACCAAAACAAAGCGCACGAGCCTATCGTCGCCTACCCCTCCACGTGCCAATTTGTCCAATCATATGTAAAAATATGCTTGCGCGGTGGACTACGATTTCACCGTCCGCGATGGTTAAACATAAGTCTTTGGTACGATCATAGATAGCAGATGGCATTAATCTACGTTCACGGAGTACATGCACTTTATGCAACCAACCTAACATCCAAGAGATATAGAATGCATGCTATTTAGATTTCTTATTGATTTAAATATTATTTTAAGTTTATAGTTTGAAAATATCTGGGGGGGGGGGGGAGTCCCAGAGTCCTCTTTCACAAGCCGCCACTGAATAAATGTATAAATTTTATAACTTTATTAAAGGTTTTAAATACTTCTTAATGACGAGTGGAGTAATTTATTTGAAATATACTTTTAAACGAAAACCCAGAATAATTTTTTACATTTGTACTGCAGATTATGTTCTAAGTTAAAGAAAATGGAAGATTATACAGAGGAAAAATTATCATCTGGACAGGATATATTTATTGGTATAAAAGGATCATTATAGGATTTCTCAGTATTATTGGGATTTAAAGATTCAAGATCCTCGCTGTTAAGTCTTAAAACAGGTCCTGGTTTCATCACACTGAAACATTTATATGCAATTAAAAAATGCAATATAAAATCTAAAGGCAGCCTAATATGTCACTTTTTTAATCTACATTTATAAACTACAAAAAAAACTGATTTGAATTTGGCAACTTTAAAAAAATTTCATTTGTATGATTACTAAATTAAAAATATATAACAGTTTTTGATCTTTTTAATATATTATCAGTTAGTTTTTAATCTCGGGAAGACAAGTATATTTTTGAAATACCAAAAGAAAAAATGTCATAATTATGTAATATATTACTATTTAAATCCATAACCGTAATCACACCTTGCTAATTCTCTCTGTAGATCTGTCATGATTGTTGTGCACTGGGAGTAAAATCGAGCTTGAGTGTCAACAAATTCATGTAAACATCTTAAGTGTGCTGCATGTGAACTACTTATACCTTCCAATAATAATTTTGTTATCTCAGCCTGCCTATCGAATTCTGACTGAGCAATCCTTAAATCTCTCTCTGCCTGAAAAATAAATAAATAAATAAAAAATATTTATCATAAATGTTAATTACATAATTTTTATGTAATGTATTAATTTTGTAACTCAACTATTGAGCTGATTGTCATGCATAAGTATTTTTGTACAATTTAAGTATGTACAATAATTGTATTTTTTTTTGACGGAAGAGATGTATTTTTTCCTATTCTACATTTGTATTCATATACCTGTTCCAAAGCAACTTCTGGAGAAATTCCATCCTTCTAATTGAAGATTGCATGAAAATTTGTTTTTATCAATAAAATCATTATAAAATATAATAAATATTTTTAAAATATATATAATAATATAATATACAATCAATTACAATCTATTCAAAATTATATTTGAATGGATGACATAATTATTTTCGAGAAAGTGAAAATGTTATGCAATTACAAATAATTTTTATGAACAATTTACTTTTTTCAAGTATGTCCTCACAATAATAAAAAAGTGGAATACTATAGGGTTTTCCAGAAAGTTTGATAGTGTTAATTCGATCAATAGTATCATTGATCTTGTCATTAGATTACTCTGATGAATTTTTTTTTTGGTCATATAAGAGAAAATTAGAGATGGGTAGTATTTATATGATTCATACAAACAGTGCCTTTTCTTGGGAATTAAATGATACAAGTCTCAAGTGAAATGATAATTCATACCATACACCAACAGTGCAGTGCTAAGTGATTTAGCCTGTCTGCATTTTCAAATATCATGCTACAGTACAGTAAGAGCTAGGAGCTAGGTATGATTCAGTTCTTTTCTTGATATTTGCCATAAACAAAGCTTCATTTTTTATACAAAGCTCTTAAAAAATATTAGAATGACAAATTTCATCAGATTTTTTTCAAAATGAAGATTACTGTTTATATGTACTCATATACCAATCTTTATGTGATATTGCATTCGATAACACACTAAAGCACTAAATAAAAATCGGGAGCTAAGAGTGGTAAACATCAACCCTTAGTGTATGTTCCATCCACTGCCTTATCATACCTAGCTGAATGTTGTATTATTTATGTATTAAAAATTGTGATATGAAAGATACAAATTTTTCAATATGCTATGAATTTCCAATTTAGATCAATCAAACTTTATATCACTGTAACTGCAAGAAATCCAAATCTGTAAAAACATATTGCATGTTCCATTTAAGAAATGCATATTCCAGCTATATCTCGATAATACGATTTGAATGAATATTGTTTCCTGCACTCTTATTCTGATTCACTTCTTATATTTCGAAAAATAAATAGAGTAACATTTATGGTGACCAACTTGGTAAAATTTTAGAATTATTCATACGTAGAAAATTATTATAAAAACTTCATTGTAATTTTGAAAAAAAAACTGTCGAGATTTTTTTTAAATCAAATATACTGTCACAAATATTTAAAAAATCTTATTTATTCCATCTGTAATATTCATTTTTGAGAATAAAATTTATTAGAACAAACTTACAGAAGGCTGACCCAGCATACTTCTTGCTTTTCGAACTCGATTTTTACAAGCATCCAAGTCTAATCTGTAATATAAGACCTTTTTCAACAAAAATTCAATTAAGAAGTCAAAAGTTTACCTTTTTGTTTCTAATAAGTTTTTTTCTTTCATAATGGTCCTCATTTCAGTTTCTAAAAACTTTCGCAGTGGTTGTGTAAAACACATTCCAGCAGAACCAATGAAATCTCTATCTGTTTGTCCCAACTTTTGCTCCCATTGTCCAACTTTAATTAAAGAGTTGCCATATGCAGTACCAGGTCCAAATGCATTACCGGCTTCTACCATTTCAATACCTAAATATTCGAGATTACTTAATCTCGAGGGACGTTTTTTTTCAATTTTTTCATAAATATAATCTTCAATTCTATTTCCTGGATTTGGTATTAAAACTGCTTCTGCATTTCTTACAATTTTTTCTGTAAAGCTTTTAGTATTTTCAGCTCTTTCCCATAAATTTTCGAAATGTCCATCTAACTCTGTTTTTTCTGATGTGCCTAATTTTTCTTCAGTTAACTATATACATATAAAATATATATAATTATGTACTATAATTTACCTATAATTAAAAATTGATTACCTGAACTACCCTACTTAAGGCTGCTCCAGCATCCTTTACAATTTTTTTCATATTAAAATCCATATTAATTTTTTAGTTTTATAATATATAATTTATACTTGTATGCAATTTTTGTAGTGACATAAGAAATAACAATGTTTTCACTTTTCAGTTTTCACTCGCTTGAATTCTTGTATTGATTCTGTTATTTCTATCACCACCACAAAATATATAATATTAATAGATCACCACTTTCCAGACGACACCATAGAAAATATAGAACTAACGACTAACGTTTTCTATGGACGACACTAATTGTAACACCGCGCCATTATTCTATGGCTAGAAATTGGCCTCAATGATTTGGGATCGAGGGGGATTATCCCTCTTTATCCTGCCTCATCTCGTGTAGGCCTGGACAGCCTTCGTAGGTGGGCCCCATCCGTCGTCTACCCCGACCGCAAATGCGGCCGGTGTAGGCGCTTTGTGGGACCTCCTTTTGTCCTGGCTGGGCCCCGCCGGCTAGGGCCCTTTCTTCTGGCGCTCTTCTTGCTTCGCCGGCTCGTCTGTGTAAACCCCGGGGGTGTGTCATGTTTATGTGTGGTATGGTTGGGTAGGGTAGTGCGGCTATGCAGCCTGGGATGCGCTTTGCTAAGGTGGCCCTTAGGCTAGCGCGGGAGGGGAGGGGTAAGGAGGGTATGGGGGGTGTGTATGTGTGTGTGTGTGTGTCGTTGTCTTCGTTTCTTGATCCTGGCTGTCTCTGAAACAGAAAAGGTTAGCTGGCAGGGGGGGGGGTCATTGGGGTGGTCACCCAGGGTCGCGCCATTATTCTATGGCTAGAAATTGGCCTCAATGATTTGGGATCGAGGGGGATTATCCCTCTTTATCCTGCCTCGTCTCGTGTAGGAATCTTGGATTTGAATGCGGAATTTTCGGTGGTGGCCCTTTGAGTCGATGACTCGCGAGCCGGTACGGGAATAGGGTACGTCAGGGTCACCGCGGAGTTTTTCCTAAATCTGCCTATTTTGAGTCCACGAATCTGTGGTTTTCCGTTGTACTCGTTATTCTGGGACACCCTGTATATATATATATTTTATAATTGACAAGAAGAAGAGGTTATAAGTAAGGTTATGTTATTTTTAATTTTACAGCTGTCAAATCATTTGTTTTTGTGTCAAATAAAATATTTATAAAATCTTTAAATTCAAGTAACATTTAGGACATCGCAAAAATGAATGCAAGTAGTAACAAGTATATTCAAGTGGCTGGTAGCAGTGCCGGAATAACAAGTAGTGATAAGGTTGTACAAGATATTTTAAATACATTTACAGACCTTAGGCATTACTCCAGAGAAATAGAAAATGAATTAAAAACTACAGAAAATCAGTCTATTAAAGTGTATATGAAAGAAAGCGAAAATATAGCAAGTTTACATAATCAAATCTCAGCATGTGATCAGATTTTAGAGAGAATGGAAAATATGCTTTTGGATTTTCAAAACGATCTTGGAAGTATTAGTAGTGAAATATTAACTTTACAACGCAAGTCAATATCAATGAGTCAAGAACTGACTAATCGACAAGCTATCAGAGGTCAGTTGAGTCAGTTTATAGATGATATATCAGTTCCAGAAACATTAATTGTTGGTATAATGGATCTACCAGTTACCGATAAAGAATTTTTAACACAATTACAAATTTTAAATCATAAAATTGGTTTTATAAAAGAACAGAGTTTCAAAGATACAAAATCATGTCAAGATGTTAAAGATATTTTAGAGAAGTTAAGAATTAAAGCCATGTCGAAAATTCGAGCATATTTACTAGAACAAATCTCAAAATTTCGTAAACCAATGACAAATTATCAAATACCTCAAAATAATTTACTGAAACATAAAGGTCATTATGAATTTTTACTTTCCAACGAAAGAAACATTGCAGAAGAGGTTACAAATGAGTATGTAGATACTATGAGTAAAATTTACTATTCCTATTTTAAGTCCTATGATAGTCGAATAATGAAACTGCAGTATGAGGAAACTACCTCAAAAGATGACTTAATGGGTATTGAAGACACAGCTACAAGAGGCCTTTTTAACAAATCTCTGAAACATAAAGCTACAGTATTTACTATTGGAAATAGAGGAGATGTATTGGCACAACAGCTTGAAGCTCCTATTATAGTTCCTCATGCAGAAACCAAAAACAGGGTAAAATTTTTCATATATATATACTTAATGTTAGAGGATGTTTTATTTTTATAATAAAAAAAAATAAATACACTGCATTATTCTTTAAGTAACTATATTATATATGAATGAAATTAAGTGTTATTTGTTTCTACTCAATAGTTTAGCATGACTTGAAATAAATGAAAATAAAAAATAAAGCGTTTCCGTATGTAGATTTCACCATTACAGTTTGGCCGAGCATTTTGGTCATTTACACGCTGTACTACTTTATGTTCTTTTAGTGTCATAGTGTAATTTTTAAATAATTTAAATATTGCTATTATTTTAGTATCCATTTGAATCATTATTCAGAAGTGTGCAATACGCTTTAGTTGACAATGCTTGCCGAGAATATTTATTTATATGTGAATATTTTATGGTAAAAAATCAACCAGCACTGGACTTATTTAACAAAATCATGGGAAGAACTTTAAATTTATTACAGGTAAATAAATACAGATTTTTAGAAGCAGTATAATTTAATTATTTATTTACTTTTTAGAAAAACGTTGAAACTTACACAGCCAGCTGTTACGATTCAATTGCAATATTTTTAAGCTTTCATTTGGTACTAAGATATAAAATAATGTGCCACAAGAGATGCGTGCCTGCATTAGATGAGTACTGGGAAAATTTGGAAAAAATATTACTTCCTAGATTTGAACATATTGTTCAGTTAAATATTAACAGTATAAGAGACTGTGATGTCACTAAATTCAATTTAGAGTTGGGACCCCATTATGTATGTTACACATTTTGTTGGTCATAGTTATAGTAGAAAAGAATAAACTGTTGGCTTAATAAGAACAGTTCATTATACTAAGTGTCCCTAAACTTTTTGGAGCAAGTTGAAATAAGATAAAAACCTACACTTTTTTCCTAATGGCGTCTCTTTCTGATACTTTATTAAATCAGCTTTTTTATATAACATCCAGCAGAGGTTATACTTTTACAAATTTTTTATTTAAAATTGTGTTTAATGTTACCTTCAATTATCTTGAAATTGTTCGTTATATCGACATTCAAGAGGTATACCATTTTTATAGAATTTAAAAAAATCTAATCCCAAATATTTAAAAGTAATTTTAGAGGAACCTTCGTTCCTATGAAACTGTTTTTTTTAAATACGTAATTGTAATTATGTCTGAGTTTGCAGGTTGATAGTGGGTTGCTTTCCAAGTCTTCTGAGTGGAAGTTGTAATAAGAAAACCAATTTGGTAACTTTGGTCACTTTAGATTATGAAAAAAATTATTTAAATTTTTATATTATTTAAACTTTATTAATATCCCCCTAAAAACTTCACTAAGTTTAGGGACAGATGCATATTATAATTTCAATTGTCCCAGAAATAAGTGCCAAAATTTTAACAATTACAGATTTAGGCATTGATATAGATCTACTCAATGGGCTATAACAAAGAAATTAGACAAGTAAAAAGAAAGTCTTGGAGGAGATACTGCATGATTATTTCTGATTTACCTAGCAGCTTCAGAATATTCTCTATAGAGATCAGACACAGGATAGCTTCTATATATAGTCTCTAGAAGAGAAATCCTGAAGCTTGTAATACAAACTACTTTAATCCTTAATAATAATCATAATAATAATAATAGTAGTTGTAATGTATTATCACCAACTTTAGAAAGCCGATTTAATGATCTATTACAAGGGACTGCTTGGTAGCTAGGAAAGTTATGACAATACCAGTTCATGAAGGGATCAAATCATTTGACCGGACTGGATATTATAAAAATGTATGTTTTTGAATAATCTGAAAATGGTGTCCACCAGTACGCCTACCAGATGCGAAAATCGACAGAAGTGGTACTAAATACCCTGTTCTGAATTATCATCCAAACCTTCCAAAAGAAGGAGATTGTGGTGTCAGATTGTTTTGACATCGATTAGTAAATAGGTAACCTGGGAACTCTAATAGGCCTATGTACTGGGCATTGCAGGTTAAGGTACCACCTACACAATCTGGGCTTTGTCGAAGAGGGAGTTTAGAGGGTGAAGAAATGGCAGAACATATATTACTTGTACCGTAGGGAAAGAACGGCAAGATGTAGTTTTTGTTGAAGGATCTGGACAGAACCTTACCCAACAAGGTTATCGGCTAACTTAGTAAATTAAACCTGTTGGATGAAATATAGTTTTAGGAGTGAGCTACAATAGAGCATAAAGTCGCAGTGGAGGACTAGTTTTTGGCCCAGTCTCCAGAAACTTACCTACTATTTTATATTTCTTTAATTTATATTAATATTATTTAATAGGTACAGAATACCTATTAAAAATGTGAGTTTACAAATCTATTAGACAAAAGTTGTTGCTTGAGATCAGTTAAATACGTGGTTAAAATTTTGACACATATTTTGGGCATACCCAGTATTTAAATGAGAGCATATTGATACTAAAATATTTGTTTTCCCATATTTATACAAATTTTAATGAATTAAAGAAATGGTCATTAAGTGACGTTAGTTGTATTTTATTAACTTTTTTTTTTAGATTGCAAGGCGTTATGCAGAATTTAGTGCTGCGTTGGTAAGCATAAGTGAAAATTTTCCGAATGAACTTGTTAACAAACTTTTGGCAGAACTTCAGGAAGAGGTTGAAATGTTTATTTTTCGAATGGCTGGAGCTTTTACTGAACGTAAAGAACAGCTTATATTCCTCATTAATAACTATGACATGATATTAAATATTATTATGGAAAGGACAAGAGATAATTCAAAAGAGGCAGAAACATTTAAGTCTAGATTGGCTGCCAAAAGTGGGGAGTATGCAGAGCAAATACTATTTCCTCATTTTGGTGAAATGATACAGTATGTTAAAGAATGTGAACACTACTTTGAAAATGCTAAGATAAAAGAACTTAAAGAAATGGAACCGAAGTCTGTAGATATTGTGCGGAATTTCTCTACAAATTGGAAAAAGTCTTTGGAGGAATTGAATAGAGAAGTGCTTCTTTCGTTTCCTAATCTAGTAACAGGTTCAAGTTTACTTCAACTAGCATTAACACAATTAGTGCAATATTACCACAGGTTCCATAAACTTCTAAGCCCTTCTGTTAGATCTCAGCTTGTTAACATTCATCTTATTATGGTAGAAATGAAGAAGTATAAGACGTCTTTTTGATGGCCTTCAATGTAATATTTTGAAACTATTAATTAAAACATAAATTCCGTACTTATTTTAATTATTGATTTTACATGTTTGTGCATAATTTTTATAAATTGTATTTATTATATATTTTTTTGATGCAATGTTTTAAATATTCCCTTTCATATTTTGATTTGTTGTTTCGAAAAGTTCTGAATTATAACTATATACAAGGAAGTAGATTAAGCATTAATAACTCTTCAGAAAAAAATGCTCCATAATTATTTTGCAGGAAACGATAAAATATTCATTTATTTATATACACTACTATATTAAAATTATATAGTGTGTCTGGTTTTTTATGTTAGCAAATGTAAGTAAACTGGTGAAATCAAGAGGGGCTATTTTTTATGGGTAGATCCCTGAAAAGTCATCATTTGTGCAACTATTAGCAAAATATAACGCAAGATTATCCTAATTGCTCCACTACAATTTGGTACCAAAATTGAAAGAGAAAAATTTTGGTGCACCACCCTGCCCAACCATAAACATGACACAACTCCCGGGGTATACACAGACGAGCCGGCGAAGCAAGAAGAGTGCCAGAAGAAAGGGCCCAGCCAGGACAAAAGGAGGTCTCACAAAGCGCCTACACCGGCCGCATTTGCGGTCGGGGTAGACGACGGATGGGGCCCACCTACGAAGGCTGTCCAGGCCTACACGAGATGAGGCAGGATAAAGAGGGATAATNTAAAATGATACGCCACTGCCTATGAGGGAATGTAAACACAACTTCGTCACCCTTCCCATGAACTATTGTGGCTTCAAGCCACATAGGTATAAATTATGTATCTATGTCTTTTCTTGATCTGTGAACTTATCCGTTGTGGAATACATTTCCTATTTACATTACATATATGCCAACAAAAACTCTCATTGCATATCAGAAGGAGTGGCAGTTTTTAACGCCAATCATGTGGTCCATATGGGAAAATTGGACAAAATTAATTTAAATTTAGAAATTTATTTTGTGTCAGCAAACTAGTGCCCTTACTTACTAACAACCCTCATGAAATTCAGGGAGTATTATCTATCGGCAATAATATTTTGAAAATTTCTTCATGGCTAGAAATTGGCCTCAATGATTTGGGATCGAGGGGGATTATCCCTCTTTATCCTGCCTTGGGGGGGGTGTCATGTTTATGTGTGGTATGGTTGGGTAGAGTAGTGCGGCTATGCAGCCTGGGATGCGCTTTGCTAAGGTGGCCCTTAGGCTAGCGCGGGAGGGGAGGGTTAAGGAGGGTATGGGGTGTGTGTGTGTGTGTGTGTGTGTCGTTGTCTTCGTTTCTTGATCCTGGCTGTCTCTGAAACAGAAAAGGTTAGCGGGCAGGGGGGGGGTCATTGGGGTGGTCACCCAGGGTCAAAAAGTTGGTGTCTAGGTCTTTTGTGTTTGTCGGTCACGTCGGGTACGTAGTCAACGGCTTGCCTGAGGAGGGGATTGTCATGTCTAGCGGCTACGTCAAATCGTTTCTCCGCGTTTTGTCTTATTGTCTGTGTAGCGTTTGTGTATTGTAAGTCTCGTAATATGTCAGTGTTTCTTACGTACCAGGGCGCGTCGGTGGCCGTGCGGAGGGCTATGTTTTCCACAGCCTGTAATGACTTTAAGTGGCTTTTTGCCGCGTGACCCCACGCCGTGGAGGCGTAGGTTAGCTGCGGTTGAAGTACCACCTTGATAAGCGTTCGCTTATTCCTTAAACTGAGGGTGTTTCCACCTTTGAGTAAGGGATAGAGCCTAGCCCTGGTGGTCTTCGCTCGCGCCACCGTCTCCACGATGTGCGGTTTCCACGTGAGACGCTGGTCCATCGTCACGCCCAGGTATCGTGTTTGTCGATTCCAGGAGATAGGTTCCTGGGATAGTGTCAGTCTGTCGAGGTTTTGTGGGATTTTTCGTTTGGTAAAAAGGATAGCCGAACTTTTGTTGGGATTAATTTTGACTTTCCACCTGTTGCACCAGGTTTCAAGTTGGTCTAAGGAGTTTTGGAGGAGGGAGACGGAATATCTAGGATCTACGGATTGGGATGTGATTGTCAGGTCGTCGGCGTATAAGTATATGTTGGTGTTGGGGGGATGTGGGATGTCGGAGTTGTAAATGGTGTATAGGTGTGGGGACAGGACGGTGCCCTGGGGGACACCGGCCTCCATGGGACGGGTGGTGGAAAGGGAATCTTGGATTTGGATGCGGAATTTTCGGTGGTGTAGGTAGGATTTTATGAGTTTGGTAAAGGATATGGGATATTGGTTGGTGAGCATTTTCATCAGTAGGCCTTCATGCCAAACCGTATCGAAGGCCTTTGCGACGTCCAGGAAGACAGCACCAGTGTACTGTCCCCTGTTGAAGGCCGCCGTGATGTGCTCGGTAAGGCGAAGGATTTGGAGTTCAGTGGAGTGATTGGGTCGGAAGGCGAACTGCTCGTCTGGAATGACTTGCAGTTCTTGGGAGTGGGTTCTTAGACGGGTTAGGATAATTTTTTCTACCACTTTGCTCATAGCCGGGAGCAGGCTAATGGGCCGGTAGTTGGATGGGATGGTGTGATCTTTGTTGGGTTTTGGGATAAGGATTATGTTTGCTGTTTTCCAGCGGGTAGGGAAGTGTCTTAGTCTGAGTGTCGCGTTTGTTATGTTTAGTAGGGCCATGAGGCCCTTGTGTGGTAGTCGTTTAAGTGTCGTGTTATGTATATTGTCGGGTCCGGGGGCTTTTCTGTTTTTAAGTCTGCGTATTGTCAGTCTTAGTTCGTCAGGTGTTGCGGGGGGGATTATGTCATTGTCTGGCTCTCTGTCGACGCGTCGGGCCGCGCGCTCAGCCACTATCTCGAATTCCTCGTCTTCGTCGGGCAGCTGAGGCAGTCTACACTGCAGTTCCAGGCTATCGGCGAAAGCCTCGGCCTTTTCCTGGTTCGTGTAAACCACCCCCACACTACCGTGGATTGGAGGAATTTTACGGCGAGCGGTCTGTCGCAGGGCCCTCTGCGTTTTCCAGAGGCTGTTGTCTTGTGGATCCAGCGACTCCAGGTGCCTAGCCCAGTTATCCTGGGCCAGTTCATCCAGAGCCGCCTTCACCCGTCTGTTAAGTACGTTTAAGTCATGTCTGTGTCGGGGGAGGCGGGTGCGGGTGGCAAGCCGTTTCGCACGTCGTCTGTCACGTATTAAGTTTTTTATGTCATCGGGGAGGGTGCCCCGGGGGTTTGTCAGTCGGGGGACAATAGTCTCCGTCGTAGTCTGAGTCAGGGCGTTTTTAATGTCAGTCTCAAGGGAGAGGATTGCCGCCTCCAGATCATGGGTGGTTTCGATGACTGGGAGCGCCATGTTTCCTTGCATTACTGTTCGGAAACGCTCCCAGTCAGTGAACCTCCTCGTGAAGGTGCCTTCATATCTCTGTCTTCGCCCCAGATCCAGAAATATTGGATTGTGGGCGGAAGACCCTTCGTATTGGGTGGATATTTGGGCATTTAACGGTATAGATTTTAAGAGGGCAATGTCGATAACGTCGGGGCGTCCTACGGGTCCGTAATGTGTCGGTTCTGTCGGTCCGAGTATCGTCAAGTCGTCGTGTCTGTCTTGGTAATTCAGCAGGACGCGACCTCTTGTGGTCGTCGTCCCGCTGTGCCATCGGGGACTTCGTTTTGAAGTCCCCGATGGCAATTGTCTGGGGCCAGGAAAGGATTTTGCCTAAGTCATTGTCAAGTAGTGGTAGTCTGGGTGGGTGGTAACAGAACACCACCGCAACGTCTCCATGCCGTAGCGATCTCACCGCTATCGTCACGGCCTCTGTGTTTTGAGTTTGGAGCCGCTGCAGCGGATAGTGGTCGATGCACTTCTTTACTATGAGTGCAACACCACCCCCGTTACGGTTTCTGTCATGTCTGTATATGTCATAGTCAGGGATGGAGGTACGGGATGTTTAGACGGTTCAAGATGTCCATGAGTTCCGTTTTTTTGGCCCGGAACCCGTCAAGGTTCCAGGACGAAATTCTCAGCGAGGAGGGTTGGGAGGGCCGACGAGCCATTAGAAGTCGAATACTTTTTGCATATTCGACACCATGGTCGTCAGCTGGACGCAGAAGTCCTGAAGACGCTTTGTTGCGTCAATCAGGGCCGCCGCGCCCGGTTGGGATGGTGTCGTGTCTGTGTGTGCGTGTGGTGAGGTGTGTTTTTGTTTTTGTGTGTTTTGTGTTTTTCAGGTCATGTCAGCGTATGTGCGTCCCGGGGTTGTGTTTGGGGTGGGTAGGAGAGGCTGTCTGTGTTCTTCAATGGTTTGATGAAAACTTAATTTTGGATTTTTCTTGGACCATGAAGAGCAACCTTGAACTGAACAATAATAGTTTGACAGTTTCTTCTTTCTATCCATAAATGCTGAAGTTTTTCTCACACTGTTTTCTTAAAATAACAGTGTTCAAAAAACGAACACAACACAGTTTTAAATAAAATACAAAACGAAATGTCACGTCACACACAGGAGAAATGTTTACCTTGTTTCGCTAGTATCACTTGCCACCGCCAGAGGGCGAGCTCTTAGCTGCATTCGCGATTAAAAACAAATTATTAATTATTGACTTGACTTCTAATTTTTAAGTTAGTATAACTCCCCGGTATATCTACTAAACTCATTATAAAATAAAACTGGTTATTTGCTTACTTCACTCGTATTTATTATGTTACATTCACTTGGGACATATTACAGTCACTAGATATATGTTATCTCGCGCCATTATTCTATGGCTAGAAATTGGCCTCAATGATTTGGGATCGAGGGGGATTATCCCTCTTTATCCTGCCTCATCTCGTGTAGG